ACTTGTATTCAGCATTCACAAAATTTCAGATATGCCCTGTGACACATGAGCACATGAATACTGAGTGCATATTCAGCATTGTTATTCCTAAATACCATAAATCAAAGTCTCAGATTATCCAAGATATAATGTATTTTCCTTTGTTCTAATTATTATATGCATTGATTTTTGATCACCCTTTCCCCCAGAGAACACTACTTAGGAACTTGTTCTTTTGGTATTTTGTTATCCAGGATTAGATGGGTATTTCAATCAAGTTGCATGTTGGCAGAGATTTTGTACCCCACTGTGTAAGTGAGCTGCCAAATAGTAGGAAAGGGACCACTGGTCCCCCAGTTCCTTTGCAACCAAATTAAAGTTTATATTGGATGCTCGGCAGCAACCAAACAATTATCAAAACACAGCCAAAGGAGGAAATGTGTTTTGATCATAACAAATGGTGGAAGGGGTGGGAATCAGAAAGGTGATAAATGACAGCTGTCTTAAGGGAAGGTCATTCTTCCCATGAACTGTGTATTTGGGGCACATACCCAAGAGAAAATATATGTAACTGTGACGACCCCTTAACTGGGGAGGTCTGGTTTTACTTTAAAAGTGTTCTTTATGTTTGGTTCTACTAGGTATATCCGGCTGCCACCAGGAAATTTTAAAAGGATTTCCAAACCTTTATGCTTTTACTCTATTACTGGGTGGGTAGGTAGGTCGGTTTTTTAGGCTTTCGAGGTTCTAATGTGGTCCTGGGAAGTATTTCTTTCAGAACTGGTATCTTAAATAAAAGTATATTTATTGATATAATTCGTAAATAATATGGTAGCACACTGTAACTAGGAATGGGTAAATACTAAACAATTGCTTTGGGGTATTTCACACACTTTTCTCTCCACTGTCAGGGATCTTGGCATGTAACTTTGTAACTTTAACTCAAGGTCATGTAAGTTCACTGTTTCTCTCCAGGACATACAGCCTTTCCTAAACTTTGTCTTCAATTACTTTCATTTACATTTTACTATTCTCAGAACAACCTTCGCTGTTCTTAACTGCACATACACAGACTGCTTCTCTCACAGACTTCCCAACTAACTGTTCCACTATCTTCATCAACTGTTTCAACTGTAACTGTCAAACCTCTAACTGTCACTCCTGATAGACATACATATTCATCCACACAGCATCCCTTTCTAAAACCCCTCCCCCTCTCTGTCAATCACCAATCACACCACACTTGTCTCTTCAAGCACTCTAGTCCATCACACCGCCATGCAACCAAACTTTTAAAGAGACACACACATATAAAACAAGGAATCATTACAGTAACACATCTTTGTTCATTTAAGATACTGAATGAATATTCCTGCTTGCAACACTGCTGATATGGAAAGGTGCTGATATGGGATGGTTCATACTTGGTTACCCACAGCTGAGCACACATTTGAATTGACATCAGGTGACACGCAAGTTCTGTTTGCACTTTTGTTATGCCATACCCCTTAGGAACGTGCATGTAAGTGATCGCTGACTGCTGCAGTCGTATAAATGTGCATCAGAAATATTTTGATTATTACTTACATGTATAAACCACCTTGCAATATTAATTACATTAACAGATTGTAATCCGTTAAAAACTAACATTACGAATAAAAACAAAAGCAATGATCGCCAAAATAAATAAATTGAATAGTGAATACAAACACAAGAAACAGAAGCCTCCATTCTCACAAGTTTGTTGGAACGAGGGTATTTTTGGGTCAGTTTCCTAGAATGGGAAAGGGGGGGGAAGACATACATTCTTAGGGTGCTCCACAGTACGGGAACAGAAAAGACCCTGCTCCTAGTAGATGCTAGCCTTACACCCAGAAAATCACACTGGCAGATCATAAGGCACTGGATGGGACGACTGTGTTTACACTGTACAGTCCCAAGGCACACCAGAAGAACCTGTGTGGTTTCTTTTGACAAATCAGCACAGAAGCACAGCGAAAAGAAAAAGACAAGAGTAACAAATAATCCATTGGCAGTGATTCTGTACTGAAAGAGAGGGGCATTTTTCTGTCTCTGCCATCTCTAGTGAAAGCCCTATACATCACAGAATCATAGAATTGGAAGGGGCCATACAGGCCATCTAGACTAACCCCCTGCTCAATGCAGGATCAGCCTAAAGCATCCCTGACCATTGTTCATCCACTGGCTGCTTGAAGATCGCCAGTATGGGGGGTGGGGGTGGGCACACCACCTCCCTAGCATTGACAATACTTGACATTTACTAGAGTAGCAAAAAAAGCAGTTTATTACCCAATGTGCTGTTAAGGACTGCATCACCTAGCATGCAAACTCCTTGCATATCAAGTACATGCCCCCTTCTGCACCCAGCTCCATAAGGCCTCCTGGGTACGAATGGAGCTCCTAGTTAATATATACTCTGCATTCTCTGTAACCTCGATGTGTATACATTCTGTGTTCTCAATGCAAACAAAAGAGGAAGCACTATGTGTGCATTAAAGGTCTCTCCACTAAACATACAAACAGAGCCCTAGATTATGGCAAAGGTCACTAAGGAGAGATAGGTATGATAAAAAAAACACAGTGGATGGTGTAAGGGCACTACTAGCACATAGTTAAAACCTCAAGTAAAACCAGGGTAGGTGGCAAATAAATCACCATCCCACTGTGTGAAAGTCCCAACACAGAAAAAGCCCCCATAATGATAAGAGCACCAAACATCTGCTTTTATAAGAAAAATAAAAGTGATGCAGATCTACCAAGGAGCCATCCATTTTTCAAAAGCTCAGCAGGTGCTCTAAAGCAAGTCTCCTTGACATGTCAAAAGCACTTGACACTGTCTGCTTTTTTCAGAAACCGAAGCCGTTTCAAGAGCAGAATGCTCAATTCCCAAAACATTTACAAGCTTAAATCAGAGGCTGGGGATCAGCAGACGAAGGCTAGGTTGTGTGCTTCTCAAAACAGTCAATCGTACAACCAAACAGAGCTTCCTGCGCCCAAGTCATTAAAGCACATGGGATTCATTGGCAGCTCAAATTCTGCTCATGCAGCAGTTAGGGAACCATAAGCCCACCCTATTTTTTAAAAGCGATGCTGTGACGACCTCTTCTCTGGGGAGGTCTGGTTTTACTTTAAAACCGTTCTTTATATTTTGCTCTACTGGGTAATCTGGCTGCCACCAGGAAATTTCCAAACCTTTATACTTTCTTCTTCTGGTTTTGGTATTGTGACCAAGGGTCTTCGCTTTCGAGGAACTATGTGTTTCCTGAAGATCAGGCTTCTGGGATAAACTTAAAGAAAAAGGATTTATTTGAAGAACAGGGTAAGAAGTTGTTTAAACTGTAACTGTTTTGGAAATAGGTATTTGTAAGTACTTAGGTCAACTGTATCACACTCTTTGTAACTTTGACTCTTTTTATGAACAGTAGATTCACTTTACAGATATAAACTCCTTTCTCTCTCACACTGTCATGGCTCAGCACTTTCAGTTCTCTCTCAGGGATTTAGGCATATAACATTGTAACACTCTTTTTCATATAATGAACTAACTTGTCCCACACAGGGATGGGTCTCTCCTCTCATACACAGAACTTAACCGTCTGCTCCTCTCATACACAGAACTTAACCGTCTGCTTAACACAGAGACTTTTACTTTTATATTCCACACAGGAAAACTTCTCTCACAGAGACCTCAGGACAAAACTCATATCAACTCATATCAACTGCTTTTGCACAGCACTCTCTGCTGACTGACTAACTGTTTTTCTGTCCTTATCAACTGTCAATCTCCCCCAGTCACTCCTGATAGACATTCAAATCATCCACACAGCATCCATTCCAAAACCCCTCCCCCTCTCGGTCACTCACCAATCATATCACTTGCCTGTTTCCAGCACTCTAGAGTATCATCACAGAGTATCATCACAGCCATACAAACCAAACTTTTAAAGACACACACACAAATAAACATGAAATCGTTACAGATGCCATACAGATTTTTTTTTAAAGGAGGAGGAGGAGATTGGATTCATACCACGCCCTTTACTCAGAGTCTCAGAGCTGCTTACAATCTCCTTCCCTTCCTCTCCCCACAACAGACACCCTGTGAGGTAGGTGGGGCTGAGAGAGCATTGAGAGAACAGCTCTTGAGAGAACAGCTCTGACAGAACTGTGACTGACCCAAGGTCACCCAGCTGACTTCATGTGGAGGAGTAGAGAATCAAATCCAGTTCTCCAGATTAGAGTCTGCCACTCTTAACCACTACACCAAACTGGCTGTCATTTGGAAAAGAATCCTTAGTTAAATTTCTGTGTATCTATCACCCCCTATGTCATGCTATGGACCAGAAAGCTGGCAGGATCACTTGAAAATTTATCTGCTGCTGTAGTACCAGTTCAGCTATTTAAGGGTCTTAAATAGCCAAACTGGTACTCCAGCAGTAGATAAATTCTCTTCAAATAGCAGTATAGAAGTCACACGTTGCATTCAGTTCTAAGCACACTTACTTGAAAGTAAAATCCCAAAGAAATCAGTGGGACATTTTGCAAATAAACATGAGTAGGATTAGGCTACCCAATACTAAAGAAAGGCAAGGCCAAGCTAGGCCTTAAAGAACCAAATTTTTTAAAATCCCACATTCAAGTTTTTAAAAAATTTGTGTGCAGCAACCACAGCTCTTCCAAACAGGGATTCTACCAGTTCATTGTTATTCATGGACGAGCTATACCTTTTTTTTTTTAATTCTAACAGTCACTTATGAGACACCAAGAACTAACTTCTCAGCAAACTTTAGAGACGAGTTATCGCTGTGCTAAAGGGCAAAAAAGTTCCGCTATAAATATAAAATGTCAAGATCAGCAATATTTGCAAGCACAGCAGCCAACACCTGAGACCAACTGATATATTGGTCTAACCTTTACACTTAGCAAGGATTTACTCCGGCACGTAACGCCTCTCCTCTGCCTTCCTCCCCAAGCCCCTTAATGGACGCACACAGCCATACCTGTTTCATCAGGTGAACTCGGAGAAGCGCTGTCCTGCGACAACGTCGTCCAGCTCGAGTCTTCGTCGCTTGGCGCCAAGTTCTGAATCCTGTGCAGAGCACAATCTGTTTTGGCACCTGTTTTAGGGTGGTCCTTTTTCGTCTCCGGACTCGATGATACGGTGGCTACCTGTCCGTCTTCTGGACTCGTCGGCTGGTTTTGCTTCCGAGGCAAGGCATCCCCATTAACAATCAGGGTCGATGCCTGACCGTTGAATTGAGAGGAGAACTTCTCCTCCCCTGCCCCTTGGCTGTTCCCGTAATTATGATCAACGTCCCGTGCTGATGTCTCCAGATCTGCATAGTAATTTAGGAAGCTTTTGGTTCTCCGGCGCTGGGCGGGCAGTATCTCACTGCCTGAAGAATCCTGCTGGTTTGGTTCTTTCCCCTCCAACTTCTCAGAAGTTACGTTTACGCCTGCAGTGGTTGTTGGAGAAGGCAGGTTTTTGTTCGGATCCTGCTGCCCCTGCTCTGCTGCTTTCCTCAGCTGGTTTTCTCCGTTCTTCACCAGCTTTATGTTGGAGGAACTGTTGCCCAGGAGGGGCTGCGCAGCGGGGTCAGAGAGGCCCATGGCTGTCTGAATGTTGGTCAGCGCGTATTTTTTCCTGCATTTCGGAGGGGTGTTGTTCTTGACTTCTGTGTGCCTGATTTCGGCATTCAGCAGTTCGTTGTGGGAGGAGCGCAGGAGAAGGGTGTTGGGTGGCGTGGCGGGACCGTTCCGATTCACAATGTCCGTTGTGCTGCTGCTTGCCATAAACGCCGCCAAGGTGTCCACACCGGAGTCCACTGAGGAAGAAGCAGAAATAGTCATGAGGCATGCCTGGCGTAAGCTAATTTGGAAGACCAACACCAAACCCTCTGCATTCAGAACCACTAAATAAGTAGCAGCACCTCTAAGCTTAACGCAGGTCTACATGGATCTAGGGGTCCGGGGGTTCTAATATGCTCACCCAGCACATCTTACTTTCACGCAGGGCTATTTTTGGGCAGGAACGCATAGGAACGGAGTTCCGGCTGGCTTCCAAGTTGGCCACGCCCAGCAGGAACTCATTAGCATAATAGGCCACACCCAACAGCAGAAACTCATTAGGATTGGCTACATTAGGGGTGTGTGGCCTAACATGCAAAGGAGTTCCTGCTACAAAAAAGCCCTGGGTTTTGACAACAAACAAGGTAAACAGAATAACAAGCAAAAGGTGGGTGTGGCTGGATGACCAGACTTCTGGTAACATGGAGGTGTGGCCTAATATTCCAATGAGCTGTGCTGTCAGGGGTGTGGCCAAATATGCTAATGAGTTTCTGCTGTTGGGTGTGGCCTATTATGCTAATGAGTTCCTGCTGGGCTTTTTCTACAAAAAATTCCCAGCCTATGCCGATCTTCCCAGAAGCACATACAACAGAGCGGAGAGACCAAGTGCCTACATGGATGATTTACAAGGCCGTCCTGTGCTGTGTTACTCCAGCCTAAACCCACTGACACATCAGCTCTCTCTACTGATGGGTGTGCACAGAGAAAGACACACCAGAAACCTCCCAGCATTTCTCCCAGGCATTACTATTCATACATTTCACAGTAAAGCATCAAAGTGAGAGAAGCGCACGCATGAACCTCTCTTGGAGAACGAGGACAGGCGCTGCCCCTAGTAAGATCACTGGTCCAGGGACGGGAAGAAAGCAAAGACAAAGGATGTTTTATTAAAGAAGAGAGGGAGGAGTTAAGCCTTTCTTGCCCCCCATTGCTTGCCTTCTTGCTGCTTTGGCATGATTTAGCTCTGGCTGTAAAGGGAGTGGTGGCGCAGGGGATTTCCCCCCTGCTTAACTATAACATCTGAACTGCCATGCTTTGGCAGTTCTAGCCCCGTGCTGGTGTGAGCAACCAAGCCTTGTCCTAGCTCATCGTCTAACCAGCGATTCGAAAGCTTCGGCAAGTAGATAAATTGGGGGCCACCCGTAAGGGGGTGGGCACACCCCTCCCTTCGGGAAGGTGTTAGCTGCCGAGGCAACTTCTGAGGCGCGGCGACCGGAAAGACGAAAGAGCTGTGTCGGCTTCCCTGCAGTGGAGCGAATCGGCCAGGCGGTGGCAGTGTGTGGCTGCACAACATCAAGAAGCCCTGACGTCATTAGCCAGCCGACAAGATGCCGTAGGAACACGACTGACCCAGCCCGCAGATGAAGCCCGGCTAGCAGCAACGTGTGTGTAATTAATGCTGTATGTTTGTCTTCCCTATCCCCACAAATATTGTTAGTCCAACTGTCTCAAGAATAACTGTAAATCGCTCTGAGCCCGCAGGTATGTGGGAAAGAGCGATCAATAAATCGAAAGCATTATTATTATTATTGCAAGGACTAATATATAGATAACGATCACTGTCACATTACAACTTCAACAACTTTATTTTAGTTGCAAACATCAGAGAGATGATCTAGCCCTGTTAAACTCAACGAAAGCTTCGCAGCCGACCTCTGAGGGGCAGTTTCATTGCATCTGAAACCTGGAAGTCCAGCAGCTTGAAAAGACGGGGGACTCCTCATACACCAGTTGCCTGCCCTTTACCCTGTACTGTTCCTAAGAAGAGATCGGGAGGGGACTGCAGGTCTGCACGCACACACCTCCCCTGAGATTCCTGCCACCTCACCTCATATCTCAGACAAACAGTTGTACAAGATTGGACATTCAAAATTTAAAATATATGAAAGCTACAAATTATAAAGAAAATATCTATAAAGTATTCCATCATTGGTACTGGTCACCAGATAAGCTGGCAAAATGTAACTCTTTAATATCTAGAAATTGACGGAAATGTAAAGTAAATGTGGGAACCTTTTTTCATATGTGGTGGCGGTGTGGTAAAGTGTATAATTACTAGGAGATGATACAAAAGTTAATCTCAGAAATAATGAATATAAATATGGATTTGTCTCCTGAAATATATTTGCTAAATATGGTCCCGGACCATTATAAGAAAAATGATAAATACGTATTAGTTTACATTTTAACAACTGCCAGAATACTATTAGCCAAATATTGGAAGCAAGAAGAACTTCCCACCAAAGAGGAAGTGGTTGGCAAGGTGTTAGAAATGGCAGAAATGGAAAAATTAAGTGTAACTCTTCAAAGGAAAGAGAACAATATTTTCTATGTAAGATGGGCGTGTTTATATAACTGGATTAATAAGTTTTGGAAAATTTAGACTTAAATATGTGGAAAAGATGTATAGGTACGTTGGTATAAGCTCTGTAACACTGATAAACAAACATAATTTAAAAAAAGATTGGACATTCAATTCAACCTATGGTGGGGGAAAAGGGGGAGAAAGCACAGGACACCAAAGACCCAATCCTGATTTCTTTCTATGTACAGTTACAGGACAGCCCAATCTTGTCAGATCTCAGAAGCTAAGCAGGGTCAACCCTGGTCAGTATTTGGAAGGGAGACCACCAAGGAATACCAGGGTCATGACACAGACGCAAACCACTTAGCTCGGAAACTCCATGGGGGTTTACAAATCACCTGTGACTTGATGGCCAAAAAAAAAAAAAGCTACAGGAGGAAAAGGAATAACCCCCCTGGCAGGAAAAGACTTCTCTGTTTCTCCAGTCTCATTCAAACTAAAAGGGCATGAGAGAAACCTGTTCTTCACCTGGGTTTTTAAAAATTATTAGTCACTAAGAGAAATTATTAGTCACTAAGAGCAATTATTAGTCACTAAGAGAAGCTGCGGTGGCTCAAGTGGTTAAGACGCTGAACTGCAGGCTGTGGAAGGCCGGTAGTTCAGCAGTTCGAGACCCGAGTGTGCCGCATGACGGAGTGAGCTCCCGTCTCTAGTTCCAGCTCCTGCCAACCTAGCAGTTCGAAAGCAAGAAATTGCAAGTAGATAAATAGGTACCACTTCGGTGGGAAGGTAACAGCGTTCCGTGCGCCTTGGTGTTTAGTCATGCTGGCCACATGACCACGGAAACGTCTTCGGACAGCGCTTGCTCTTCGGCTTGGAAACGGAGATAAGCACCGCAACCCTAGAGTCGGACTCGACTGGCTTTCGAGCAAGGGCACCTTTACCTTTATAAGAGAAACTGCAGATTTCTCCTTCTTTTTCTAAGGGTTAAAGAGAAGAACGATATGTAGGGGGGCTCAGAACATTAAGCAAGCCGCTGATGGTTCGCTGCTATTTGCATGCTGTTTGCTCGTTATTTCTTAGCAGTTAAAAGAGCAGACATTTAAGATACAAAGACCATACAAGCCTTGCAAAGAAAAACTGCACAAGCTTTCCACTATAGGTCGAGAGTGGCTAAAGACAAAAGGTGCCAAGGTATACAACTGCAGATCTTGGGTGTCCGGATGAGGACGTATCAGCTCTACTAGCATAAAGTCGTTTGTGTACAGACCCATAATTCCAAAGACGAAGAACTCAAATCTGGGACAAGTTTCAATGAGATTTATATGAAAAAAACCCAGGAAATTCCATATTACAAAAGCGGATTATGTGAACGAAAGCTTGACTGCTGCCATGCAGCGGAAACCTCAAATGTAGGTCCCTTCAGATTTTCTCTTTTAAGCCGCACGGGTCACATCTGGGTTTAAACAGTCTGTAGTTTACAAATCGTTTCATATGGCTATATGGAACGATTAGTAAACTACAGAATGTTTAAACCCAGATATGAAATGCCAAATCTTAGTTCACTGAGTAAGCGATATGTAGATTTCAACATGAACAAAACGGCCTTTCTGTTGGACTGTTTCTACTTATGCTGTCTGGGGTTTTGCTTCTCTACTTGGAAACCTGTTATGGCTTCTTACACCTTCACATAGTGCCACACTACATCAATCAGTACAGCATGGTGCAGCAGTTAGAGTACTGGACTAAAATCGGCAAAACCCAGGTCCAAATTGCCACTCTGCAGTGCAGGCTCACAGGGTAACCTTGGGCTAGACACACCCTCTCGACCTCACCGACCTCACAGGATGGTTCTCCTGAGATTAGAACAGAAGAGGGGAGAACAATGCTATAAACTGGTTTGGGTCCCCAGGAGAGAGAGAGAGAGTGGTCAATTATAAATATCTAAACAAAGAAATAGACACCCTAGGTGACAGCCATGAGCAGACATACATTGATCTTCCTTCCAGCATTCCTTAGTTAAATTGCATACAATGCCACTCAAATTCAAATGGAATCAAAGAAATGTGAGTAGCGAAAGCAAAAATGCATGTTTAGTATTTCTCTGAATTACATGAATAAATACATTTTTATTCTGCTTTCCTCCCGGGAGTTCAGGGTAGCATCGTTCTTCCCTCTCTCTTGAATAAGGAGGAGAAATGACAGAAAGCGGTATGCAGCATGAATATTTTGTGATTCAACATGCAGGAGTCTGCAGTTTTGCAAAGACCTGATTGTAATGCAAAACTTGGCGATGGAAGAGCTGAATTTGGGAGGCAGACGAGGGTTAATGTCCTCAGTCTCTGGCAGCACAGAGAAAGGGTTAATAACTCTTTGCATCAGTTAGGGCTACACTAAACATGACACTGGGGTTCTATGAATGGTGGTCCCAGCCCTCCCCCCTTCAACTATCAGGTGCACAGAGGCCCAATTCTGATCAGGGCTGCAGTGGAAAGGGGGGAAGCAGAGGTCATTTCGGGGGGATCGCGGGGGATCGCAGTTCCCCCAGGTGAGGTACGGGGGTGGGGCACATGACGAAGCCCCGCCCCCTGCTTCCGGCCGCCCCGCTTCCGCCCCGCATTCAGCCAGGAGGAGGCAGGAGAAGAGGGAGGGTAAGTTGCTTCCTCCCTGCCTCTCCTCACCCCTGCCTGCCTGGGGCCAGGGAGGGCCTTCGCGGGGCTTCCTTGCACTCCCGTCGGCCTTGCAGGTCCACCGCTGGGCCCCTCATGGGGCTTGGCAGTGGAGCTGCAAGGCTGGCGGTGGCGGCCGGGACCATTGGGGGTGGTGTGTGGCCTTATGACACACTTCCGGTGATGTCAGGGGGTGTGGCCTTATGACACACTTCCGGTGATGTCAGGGGGTGTGGCATATGCTAATGAGTTATGCTAATGAGTTCCCCTACCTCTTTTTCTACGAAACGACCCCTGGGGGGAAGAATGTAAGTCTCCTACCCCACACCATTTTCCTAGACCGAAACAGTCTCAAAGGGTTCCCTTGGGATGACCACAACAAAACAAAAATGGCTTCCACGGGGCAGTTTCAGGTCAGAGAAAACATCACGGGGGTGGGGGGGATTTAACACACTCACACACCCGATGCAGCTGTCTGATCATATTTTTATTTACTTTATTTTTACGTCATTTATACCCTGCATTTCTCCCAATGGGGACACAAAGCAGCTTAATTTCTCTCTCTGCCTTCCTCCACTGTATTCCCACAACAATCCTGCAAGGTAGGTTAGGCCGAGATTATGTGACTGGCCCGAGGTCACCTAGCAAGCTTCCATTCCAGATCCTAGTCTACCCACTACACCACGCTGCCTCTCACACCAAAACCACGCCCGCCCCCCACGCACAATACCTCAACAGCAGGAACTCATTAGCATATTAGGCCACACCCCCATGTTATCAGAAGTGTGGTCATCCAGCCACACCCACCTTTTGCTTCTTATTCTGTTTACCTTGTTTGTTGTCAAAACCCAGGGCTTTTTTTGGAGCAGGAACTCCTTTGCATGTTAGGCCACACACCCCTAATGTAGCCAATCCTAATGAGTTCCTGCTGTTGGGTGTGGCCTATTATGCTAATGAGTTCCTGCTGGGCGTGGCCAACTTGGGAGCCAGCCGGAACTCCGTTCCTGATTCCTGCCCAAAAATAGCCCTGCCTCCACTGATCGCCAAGGTTGATTTGGCTGATCTGACTGTCAAGGTGGGTGTCCCCCACCCCCTTCGCTATTCCATGTGTCCAAATGATGCCAACAGCCATGCTTGAAGGTCGCTTTACTCAAACACCAGTTGCTCAGCACCTCTTTATATGTAGAGGTCCAGATCCTGAAGAACGGTGTCATTATCTGCTGGCCTGTCCACTTTATTCCGTTCCAAGGAAGAAATGTTTAGATACAATCTTGTGCCAATTTAGGCCTTAGTACTGTGATGGAACAAGTCATATTTTTTACTTGCAGATGTAGAATCAAAGGTCTTGTATAAGATCACTCTTTTTGCCTTGGCGGCAAAGAAAATTAGGGCCAAGCTAGCGTCGGCATAGGTCGGTTGCTTATGGCAGCCGTTCCTTTCTCTTATGAAACAAGTTTTAAAATGTAATTTTTATAGTATTTCAACTCCGCCTCACTGTACTGTGCTGTATTTTATTGTATACAGTTTTTTAGTATTAACCTCTTGTCATGGCCATTGGCCCTATGCACTGAAATTGAACTGAACTGAACACTGCTCCATGTGTGTCTCTCCTGAAGCTGTGTGCTCGGTGGGAAAGGGCAACCATCCCAGACAGAAGGAGTACACCATTCTTCAGGTAATTTAAGATCCCTACAATGCATTTCCACAGAAATGGTTCTTCACTGTCATTCTAATTAAAGGTAAAGGTAAAGGTTCCCTTGCTCGAAAGCCAGTCGAATCCGACTCTAGGGTTGCGGTGCTCACCTCCGTTTCAAAGCCGAAGAGTCAGCACTGTCCGAAGATGTTTCCATGGTCATGTGGCCAGCATGACTAAACACCAAGGCGCACGGTACGCTGTTACCTTCCCACTGAAGTGGTACCTATTTATCTACTTGCAATTTCTTGCTTTCGAACTGCTATGTTGGCAGGAGCTGTACTTTATATTTATATAACTCTTTGAAAAGCAGGAGTCCCTAATCTTGTTAAGCTTGTGGGCACCACTGGGATTTTAGAAACACAGCGCAGGTGCCACCCTAAAATGGCTGCCATGGGATGCTGCTACCAAGTACAAAAAGTTGGGAGAATGCAAAGCCAAGCATCCTCCAACAATGGAAGTAGCTGTTTCTGAATGGGTGCTCCCTGCAGACACAAAGGTGATATTGGTTTGTTCTGAAGCTCTTCCTGCTCCTATAAAGTGGAGGAAAACCAAGACTGGTTATTGGCTTTGGGGAAGAAGCAAATGGGCACTAGGAAACTCATCACCACTCTTGGGGAACACAGCACCGCACTGAACTCCAGTGTTTCACCTACATTATCTCAGTAAGTGTTACATTGGTGCCATCTGATATCCCAGTATTATCCCAGTACACAAGGTGACAGATTAAAATGGATGTTCGACAAAAGCCCTCTGAGGAGTTAAACTTGGACAGGGGACTTCGAAGTTCACAACTCAAGTCATTATACTTCAACACTTCCTTAAACTATACTGCTTCATCAAAGTTCATATCTAAGAGTTAGGTAAATAGTAAAGGTTCCCTTGCTCGAAAGCCAGTCGAATCCGACTCTAGGGTTGCGGTGCTCATCTCCGTTTCAAAGCCGAAGAGCCAGCGCTGTCCGAAGACATTTCCGTGGTCGTGTGGCCGGCATGACTAAACACCAAGGCGCACGGAACCCTGTTACCTTCCCACCGAAGTGGTACCTATTTATCTACTTGCAATTTCTTGCTTTCGAACTGCTAGGTTGGCAGGAGCTGGAACCAGAGAGGGGAGCTCACTCCATCATGCGGCAACTCGGGTCTCGAATTGCTGAACTACTGACCTTCCACAGCCTGCAGTTCAGCGTCTTAACCACTTGAGCCACCGCAGCTCCTTTTATCTAAGAGTTAAGAGCAGTCAAATTACTTGTTAATGTCCTTCCACGTTCATTTTAAGGGGACCCTTCTTTTCCAAATGGTGCTTGGTCTTCTGTCAAAGTAAATGTAAGTACTCCCCTGTATAGAGAAAAGCTGCTTGAAAATGATGTTTTGCAGCAGAAAAACAGCTGAAGAAGAAAGGGTTAAAGAATCCCCCCCCCCCACTGTTCTTCTTGAAAAGGCAACCCCAGGGATTGCAGGTGGGCAATGAAAAAGAAAATATTTTAACAGGAAGAATGTAGCTGTGTTCTCCATCTCATGTTTTTCTCTGAGGACATCTACAAAGAAACAAATAAAAGAATCTACAGATTGGGGGGGGGGAGAGACACCCAGCCTGTTTCCCACCTGCTGATCTTCCTCTGAAATACGCCCTTCTTCCCACTTCCTCTCCCCCCAAGTTAGGTTCTGATCTGAAAGTAAGCCCAACTGAGGGAATTAACCAGGGTATGGGATTTGCAAGAGAGATTCAACAAGTACAGAGAGATCAAGTATCCCTTCCACCCACTGAAACACCCACCCCCCATATTTTTCTCTGGTATCTTGGCTTAAAGGCCTGGAAACACATGTTTGGGGTGATAAAATGGAGTTCCGCCCATGATTAACAGTGCCACTGATAGAATGGTTAGCCACAGTTAAGTCCACCAGTGGGGGAATTTGTGGTCCAGAAGAGAGGTGGAGGGAGGGAGGGTGTGGACAACCCCTTGGCTTCCTCAGCGTTAAGCTACTGGCATGAAGTTCATTCTTGGTTTTTTGAAAAAAAAAATGGCTGACTAAAAGATGGGAAAACAGGAAGAAAGGAAGAGAAAAAGAAGAAACATGTTCATTTTAATTCTTAAGTGAGAAATGGACGGGCCAGGCAACAAGAGGGACAGAAGCGCAATGCTGTTCCATTAAAATATGTGAAAGGGCATCTAACCTGTAAGTACTTCTGACATGGATCACTGGGCTTCAGCAATGGATCAGGAAAGGGATTCTAATTTGAAATCTGAAAAGAGGGATCATTTTAAGAAATTAAAAACAAACACACACAAAAACACAAACGAAAGCCAGCATGTTTATGGATGTCTTATGGATACCGGTGCTGCCCAACATTTCAGTGGAGGCCAGATTATTCATTCTGTAAAGCTAACCTTTGCAAATATAGATCGAAAAATTGCACTGGAGCCATTTTTTTTAATCGAGAAAGCCCAAAGTTAACCAGCATTAGCTCATATTTTAAGTACAATTTCTCTTGAACAAAGACAAAATAGTCCCAGCACCAAAACCCTGAGTTATACTAATAGCCAAGAGCTAAAATGTTTAGAATGTCTTAACAGCCACATGATACAGAAAACCATTCCAGATAGACCCTCTTTTAATTGCATCTTTATACAGTGCTTCATGCTAGCAGCAAACTGAAGGAGGAATATTTTGTTATTGCTACCATAAAACCTAATCCTAAACTCTTCTCAGTTTCTTGTCATTTTTTAAAGTTATAACAAAATGTTGTAGTATATAAGTAAATATAGGGTAACCCTAGTTTTGACTGCAACAGAAAGCTAACCTCTGGCCCTCACCTAAATAAGCTTTGTACATAATCTGAGAATCACCAACTCAGAATAAATCAATGATGAAAATACTAGGAAATTGGCACCCTGGCACCTGAGATTTGTCAAGCTCTGTACTATGGTGCCCCCAAAATTGGTTGCACGATATCATGAGCAAGTGCAAATGCTGTGGAGGCTTGTGAGCAAAAATTCTACTTTGTGAGCTGCTGGCATTAAAGTTGTGAGCGAGCGATTTGGCTGCTGCATATGTTACTTTGCCCTGGAGCCATCCTTCCTGAGCTAAGACAAAAATGTGTGCGCCAGAGGCTAGAAAACTATGAGCTAGCTCACACTAACTCAGCTTAGAGAGAACATTAATGGGCACCACCATAAGTCTGACTTCCTACGATCAGTTATTATGGTCTTTTTCTTGTGTTTTTGCTTGTGCAAGAACTCTAGCACATACAGGAATTCTGCACTGGAAGGATCCTAGAGTTTCAAGGTGTTATAAACGCCAGACCCCTATACAATTGTACAGCATCCACAGAAAGTTACAAATTAGGTCCAGAAAATATTGATGTTATCAGGAAATATATTCTTCCAGACCACAGAATCACAGAATCCTAGAATTGAAATGGACCTCCAGGGACATCTAGTCCAACACATCTAGTCCAATCCCCTGCACAATGCAGGAAATCCACAAATACCTCCCCACCCACAACCCCAGTTACTCCTGTTTCATGCCCAGAAGACGACAATAAACCTCCAGGATCCCTGACCAAACTGGCCTGGAGAAAAATTGCTTCCTAACCCCAGCGTGGCGATCTGTATTTCCCTGGGCATGTAAGAATCCATTGGAATTCCCACCTAGCCCATCTTAAGAAAGATGAAATGATAAGTAAATTCCAATGCTGATGTTCCACAATGCTGGGGACGGAAGTCCCATGGGTGTCTGTCTCCCTGGTATTAATTGGCAGGCCGGGGAAAAGACTGTATGGCTGGAACAAAGAATTAAAGAAGCTAAAATTAAGATTGGGAAAACTAAAAGCAAAATGGTATGGACCAGACAAGCATATGACCCCAATACTACAGCAATTACAATGGCTACCGATCCACCCCCCAGCCCAATTCAAAGTCTTGGGGTTGACCTTTAAAGCCCTACAAGGCTTGGGACTGTGGTAGCTGTGGGACCATCTTCTCCCATAAATTCCTGCCAGGGAATTAAGGTCACAGGAAGAGGTCCCTGGGCTGCCCCATCAATCAAAGAACCTTGTTTAGTGGGTACACAACAGAGAGCCTCTTTACTCGTTATTAAACAATCTCCCCAGGGAGATTTTTGATCTTTAGGAGGCAGTTGTAGACATTTCATTTAGGACTGCATTTGGTGACGTTTGCTAGCAGTCCCGAGTTGTAATTTTAAATTGTGACTTTTCTGTTTTGGATGTTATTTCATTTTATGTGTTTTATTTGTGTTGTGAGCCACCTTGAGCTCTGTACGGAAGAAAGACCACTAATAAATGTTGTAAATCAGAAAATAAATACACTGATAAAAAAACCTCACCGTTCATTTAGTAGCTATCACATGACTGCTGCTGTTTTGCCTGATTATTATTTTTTTTACTCTGTTGTGCTTCCCTTGCGTGAAACTCACTTGCGGTTTTCTAAAGGACATTGCAATTTTACGTAGATGTTTCCTTGTGTTTAACGCCAACTGTGAAAATATACTACATTCCTCCAAACAAAATGAAGACGCTAAGCATACTTCATGGCTCTTGAAATTTAGTTCTCCATAAAGAAACTGAAAAAGTTCACCAAAGTGGATTTCCTGGCATAAAGAATATGCTGAACTCGGACTAAATTATAGTAAGCATAAAAGGTTGGGCAAAAGGCCAAGAATTCATTAAGTCTTCCATTCAAAAAACTTTCAAGGAATGCTCAGCCAAAATCACCAGAACTTTAAGAAGAAGAAGAAGAGGAGGAGATTGGATTTATACCCCCCACCCGTCATTACCCAAAGATGTCTCAGAGCGGCTTACAAACTCCTTTCCCTCCCCCTCCCCACAACAGACAACATAAAAATCAGACTGAATACTCTCTGAGCGCTGTGGGTTTACTCTGTATGGTCATCATTCAGAATCTACAGTTTCCTCAAAGATAGCTGCATTTTGTCACGGGTCATTTTGTAGAAAAAGAGGTGCAGGAGCTCATTAGCATAACTCATTAGCATGACTTATTTGCATATACCTTACCCCCTGACATCACCGGAAGTGTGTGAGAAGGCAACCCCCCCCCCTCAGGCTCCACTGGACTGTTTTGGATTGCTAGCTATTGGGGGGGGGGGACCACGTGCAGATCTGTCCTCGCAGAGGAGGGAGAGCTTGTGCCTGAATAAAACTTGGTCTTAAAGGTGCCACTGGACTGTTCTGGACCGGGGGGCCGGGGGGAGGCTCTGCAACTTACCTGGCTGCTTCTTGCTCTGACTGAGGGCTGCTGGGAGCAGGGGGTGGGGCTTGTTGCGTGTGCCCACCCCCTGGGCTCTTTACTGCCAGAGCTCCGCTCCTGTGCACTCCTGCAGGAAATGACCCCTGCCTTTTGTGACCTCCACAAATCCGGCATTTTATTGCTTATTTTGCATAATTTATTGTGCTCCTGCTAAACACTGGAAGGGATACAGAAGGCCAATGGAACACTTACAGTGGCACATCTTTGAGACTTTACCATGATTTGTTAACATTCTCAAGCTTCCCTGTGTAAGCCCTGAAGGCCAGAGTACTGGGTTTTCTCATTCCTTTGTTTTAATGAAAGTGCATATCTTAAGAAGTGAAGTTCTGCACCCCATTTTTTGTGCCTACTAAAAAACAAAGAATGCACAAATGCATGCAGCTTCCACAGAAATAAAATTCACATAGACGTTATTTCGAACATGGAAAACCATGTCTTAAGAAGCATTTTACACATTCTAAAGCAGAAAATATTTTGCAGGCGGTTCCTCCCCCCCCCCCAACTTTTCCATCTTTCCTGTTGGAAAAATGGGGGAAAGTGCTCAGAAAGAAAAATGACCCCCCCCCCCCAATTTTTCCATTTGTTTTCTAGGCCTTCACATCTCATGTCTGTTCCTGCTCTCTACACATCTTATGTGATATCCCCACATATACACAAAGGACTCTTCTCCAAGACCTTCTGAAGTGACCCTTATGGTTGTCAGACTCAGTTCTTATCAAGCTGTGGGGAAGAGTTAAGGTTGCCAGGTCCCCCCGACCAGCCTCCACTGGGGGATGGGAGGTGCGTGGCACCAGCTTCAGGTTGGGAAACTCCTGGAGATTTGAGGGTTGAGCCTGGGGAGGACAGGGACCTCAGTGGGTATAATTCCACAGAGTCCACCCTCCAAAGCAGCCATTTTCTCCAGGGGAACTGATATGGAGATCAGTTGTAACTCTGGGAGATGTTCAGGCCCCACCTGGAGGTTGGTAAACCTAGAGTGGGTCTGTCTATCATAAAGGCCAAAATGGCTGAGTAGTCAGGAAGGCATACATGGAAGCTTTTATTGGAATCAAGCAGTATCACCTGACCCACTCAAGGCTTAAGCAGTCAGAAATATAACTAGAGCACCTCCTGTAACTCCAAAAATTATGCTCTACACTTGATTAAAAGACAACTAATTCTCTAACCGACATACATTATCTGAAACAGCTCTGTCATCTCTGCTAGACCATTTAAATAGGCACACACCTAAAAGTTAAATTACTGTTCTTTGTCACACAATAAATGTTTTATAGCTGTGGCTTCAGCCTGTAGCAGCCTTGGCAGAATCTCCATAGACTGTAACAAGGAAAGTCAGGTGGACAAAACCTAAATTAAGATAATATCCAAAGCCATGACAAGGATGACTACTAAACTACTTTACGAAAATGCTTCAAAGGAAAATGATTACCAAAAGAATACAGCAAAACAGAGACCAAAAAAAAAGAACAAGGAAAAGATTCAGAGCGTTATCAGAGTAGCCTCTGGCATCACAAAAATGCCATGTCTTAACACAAATTTCTAAAGTGTATGTGTGTGTCAAACTCTAGTTTGCCATGATGTCTGGGGGATGGGAAATTCCTGCGGGGGGGTGAGTGTTGGAGTGTGTGAGCGGTGGGGTTGTAGAAGCTGTAACTCTTCCTCCAAGATACCTCCCTGAATGCCAGGTAAGACCTTGAAGTCAAAGCTGTGCTTTTCTCACTTTCATAGATAAGGTAACCATATATTCCCAGGGGTTAGAAGCACGAAATTTAGGCGGGAGGTTGGCAATGTGTGATTGGTGCACTTTTGTTTGAACTGTCTATAACTATGGAATTTCCCGCTTGAACCACAGTTTTGACACGGTACTGTTCCACCTGGACCATGCAGATATCTCAATAAACAAATCACTGCCAAAGAGAGTGTTGTTGAGGGTCCCTTGACCAGGGGTAGGACAGTGTGGGGATAGACGTGACACCCTCTCTGTGATTAAGAAGAAGAGTCCTGCTGGATCTAACCAGTGGTCCAGCATCCTGTCTCACACAGAGGCCAAACAGTTCCGGGGGGGGGGGGGACACAACAGGGCATAGGGGCTGAGACCTGCCCCCGATGTTGCCTTCCGCCTCTGGGATTCAGAGTTTTAGTGTGTCTGAATGTGGAGGTTCCCCCAGTCACCATGGCTAGTAGCCACTGATAAACTTATCCTCCATGAATCTATCTAATCCCCTTTTAAAGCTGTCTAGTATTGTGGCCATCACTACATCCTCTGGCAGCGTATTCCACAGTTTAATCACTCTCTGTGTAAAGAACTGTTTCCTTTTGTCCATTCTGCCTCCTGAGATCCTTCAGCAGACCTTGCAAAGTAGCAGGCCTGAAGGCTTAAGGGCATTTGCTCATATTAGCCACGGGAAATGGACAACAGGGGGAAAATAAACAGTATAGGCAAGGAATCTGTTTTTCCTGTGGCTGGTGGTCATCTGTGCGGTCACACCTATGGGGTTCTGTGCCAGTACGGAAGCAAATCCCTAAAATTAAGAAGATTTATGCCAAAAAGTAGCACCCAAATCCCCCTCTCCTGATGGAGGGGACCCTATCTGTGCACTAGTTCCAAGAGGCAAGTGCGTCCATGCTTAGTTCAGTCAGACTGCTGCAATTATCACCCCCAGTGTTGGGGGAGAAATGAGACACCAGCAGTGAGGAAGAAGATGGAGAAACTGACCACTGGCCAGAGAAAAAAAGGAGATCACATCTGGCAAAGCTGTCGGGGAGCCACTGGGATGCCATTGACACCAAGTATGATTTTGCAAAACACAGGTTTTATTAGAGGCAAAGGGGGAAACCTGTACATGAACTGGTTTTCCCAATGGATCAAAAAGGCCTTGCCTAGAGATGACCTTCCTATAACACCACTGCTGCAGTAGTGAGACTATTGGTGTTTGGGTTTTTTTGCCCTGCATCTAACTGGCACCAAACCTGGAAGATCCTGTCTCTAAGTACTGTGATTTCTGTGCTCAGATGTATGCTACCGCTTTCCCGCAGGCAAAGTACCTTCAACAGGTCGCCTTTCTTTGGCAGAGAAGTGATAGGTACACTTGGAATTGTCTCACAATACCTTGGATCACTCTGTGTACTCAGTGCACAATGAGGACATTGGTGCTATTGATACCTACTGACCATGCTTGCCACCCATTAACTCCAACCTTGAAGGGGAGAAAGTGCATATAAGAGGCACCCTCCAGGATCAAACCACCAGTCCAACTCCTTATAGACCAGCATCTTGTTTCGCACAGCAGCCAACCAGTTTCCCTGAAGAGCCAACAAGCAGGACGTAGAAGCAAAGGCCTTCTCCTGATGTTGTCTCCTAGAACTGGTGCTTGGAGGTTTACTGCCTCTGACTATGGGGGTTCCCTTTAGACACTGTGGGTAGTAGCCATTGATGGACCTCTACTCCACAAATTGGTCTAATCCCTTTCTAAAGCGATCTGTGCTACTAGCCATCATTCCATCCACTGGCAGCAAATTCTACCACGTGGTTCCACAATTTGGAATGAAGTGAGTCAATGCATGGAAAAAATTGTATATAAAGGTGCAACTTATTCGATTTAATCTATGCAGTTTTTGTAAAAGCTAGCAAAACTGAAGCAGTGATATCGACCGCTTGTACACAGAACTAGTGCCCTTTGCTTTTGATTCAACATAACTCAATGCAACAATTTTTTCTGTACTTTTACATTTCTTCTAGGCAAGCTGCAGTACAACTCTAAACAGAGTTACACCCTTCTAAGACCACTGGGTGGCTGAAGGGTGTAATTCTGCTCAGAAGTGCCCTGTCAACATCATTTGAAAGTATAAGGAATAATCAGCAGTAGATCATCGATGATACAGCACTAAAAACACAGACTACGTATGCTAAAGTCAACCCAGATAAGGCTACAAGGTTTTGTTGCTGCTGTTGTTTAAGTGGACAGGTAGTAAGGAGGAGATCTGCATACTCACATGAATTGCTTTGACGACAGTGAGCCCCTGGGTATCGCCTGCCCATAGCGCCAGTCAGCACATTATCCCGTGTTGTCAGCTGTTTTCAAAGAATACGGCACAGCCGTTTTACTGGGGGGGGGGGGGAGAAAGAAAAGAGAAAAAGAAAAAACAGGATGCAAAGATTTAGTATAATGCCTGGATCTTTTCATTAAAATGCTAATGACCCTGTCCTATGTATTTTTGGAGAACCGCGTTTATAAATTATTCATAGACACACCATCGACAGAGACGAACTGTTCGGGCCATAGACACAAAGCAAATTTACCATTTGCACTTGCCCTCCGCTGAGAAGCGTAAATAATTTCAAGGCAAACAGGGCCACTCGATACAGTTGCTCGTTCTGGGATAGCCCTACCTCCGAATGGGCTGTGCTTCCCCAGACACTGACTTTAGTCTTAAGTGAAGCTTCTCTGGACAACTCAGTAATAAAGGTAAAGGTTTCCCTTGCTCGAAAGCTAGTCGAATCCGACTCTAGAGGGCCAGAGACGGGAGCTCACGCCGTGGTCATGTGGCCGGCATGACTAAATGCCGAGGCGCACGGAACACTGTTACCTTCCCACAGAAGAGGTACCTCTATTTATCTACTTGCAATTTCTTGTTTTTGAACTGCTAGGTTGACGGGAGCTGGGGCCGGAGACGGGAGCTCACTCCGTCACGCGGCACTATGGTCTCGAACTGCCGAGCGACAGACCTTCCAGTCTGCAGCTTCAGCATCTTAACCTCTGAACCACCGCAGCGCCTTAACTCAGTAATGCACAGCATCAAAACTTAGGAGTAACTAATATAACTTGCTTTAATTTAGTGCTCTCCAGCATGGCACCATAGCACCATGACGCATTTGCCAGTGCCCACTCCCTTCTTCCGTGAAGCAAGAAGCCAGTCCTGGCTTTCGTCAACCTCACTGGAACAGGAGGCGCTTCAGGACAGCTCATGACACATCAGCTCAGCAGAGAGAACCCACTTGGAAACAACTACCTCTGTTGCAGAAAGACACTTGGCTTGCAACCTCTGAAATAAGGGGGCGGGACCCGATAGAAGTTTATACAATTATGCATAGGGTGGAGAGAGTTGACAAACAGAAAATTTTCTCCCTCTCGCAAAAGACTAGAACTTGAGGGCATCCAATGAAGCTGATGAGTAGTAGGTTCAGGATGAACAAAAGGAAATACCACTTTACACAGAGAGTGATTAAAATGTGGAATTCGCTGCCAGAGGATGTAGTGATGGCCACAGGAATAAACAGCCTCAAAAGGTGATTGGATAGATTCATGGAGGTTAGAGATTGGATTTATACCCTGCCCTTCACTCGGAATCTCAGAGCGGCTTACAATCTCCTTCCCTTCCTCTCCCCACAACAGACACCCTGTGAGGTAGCTGGGCCTGAGAGAGCTCTGAGAGAACTGCTCGTGAGAGAACAGCTCTGAGAGAACTATGGCTGACCCAAGGTCACCCAGCAGCTGCATGTGGAGGAGTGGGGACTCAAACCCAGTTCTCCCAGATTAGAGTCCACGCACTTAACCACTACACCCAACTGCTCTACCTTTTTGCTTAAGTCTATCGATGGCTACTAGCTGAACGGAACCTCCACATTCAGAGGGACCAAGCCTCTGAATCTGCCTCTTCCGCCTGTAGCAGAAGCAAGGTCGGACTGCTGCAATAAGTGGGCTTTTTCTGTTGTGGCACACCAATTGTGGAATGTCCCCCCCACACACACACAGACATCTTGTTATTTGCCTGGGACCCTGGATGGAGGAGCTTTTAATGTTAAAATGGCTGGTTGGATGTGGCTAGTCTGTGATTTTATTCTATTTACTGAGTAGGCTAGTTAATATATAATGGGGATGAGGTCGGACTTGATTTTTTGCTCTGCCTTTCTGCTTAAGTTTGCTGCTCTGCTTTAATACGGTTTGTGGATTTTGATAAATGGAGTACTGGGTGCAGAGCTCGAAGGGTATGTTCCCTATATTATCTAGGCCTTTCAATCCCGAAGTCTCTGCCTGTTTACTGTAAATATTTAATGGTTCCCAAGGATAGAATAGTTTTCTCCAAGGCTAGACTAAATGCCCTACCATTAGGAGAATTAGAAGGCAAAGTCCTAGGAATTCCTTTCTCTGACCGGCTATGTGACTGTAAATCTGATGACTTGGACACTATTTGGCACTGCTTTATGAATTATAATAAGTACAATTTGGGCAGTGACAAATGGATTACAATCTATATCCAAAAATGGAGTTTTGCCACAAAACAAGAGATTGTAGCAAAGCTATTAGCAGATGTGGATCCACGTGTGACTCTGGCAGTTGCAAAATTTCGGTCTATAGCATTTAATGGCATCATTTCCTAATGTAAAATTCTATACTTATGTTTTCCATATTATACATCTATGATTTCTACATTGTCTGTATACTAATATAATCTTTCAGCATGCTTATGTCCTGTTGGTCTACAAGCATTAATAAAAGACCGACTATGGTTTGTGGAGGCTATTCTTCAGTTGGTCTTAACAGTTTTTCAGTATGGCTATGGTGCTTGAGATTGATTTTCATGGTTTGGGGGTAGATTCTTAAAATTTAGTAAATTGTTGTACTTTTTTTTTTTTTTTTTTTTGCTGTAAGAGCCTTCGGGCTGAAAGGTGGATCACAAATGTTTACGGAGGCCAGGAAACAGACTCATCCTGTGGAAACAGGGTGATTGCTCCTTGGCTGTTATAGAGAATGAGTTACGGGTTACCTACATCCATTCTCAAATTTTGCACTGAAGTTCCATACCCTCAATTTGATATTACAAATGCATTAAAACATCCCAACAAAAATAAAGCGCAAAGCACACAATACAGAACAAAAGTAACGTGCCACTAATTGTGACATTTGTGCAAAAGAGCATGATAGTAATAGCTAGTGACGAAATAATACATATCTACTACATCAAACAGGAAAAAATACAACCACATATTAAAATCTGAAGAGGTCTCTAAAATCTACATTTTATAGTGGTTTAGAAAGCTGAAAAATGGGTATATAAATCTTTTAAAATCATATACAATTCAAAACGAGTAATGATTAAAAGCATTAAAATTAATACATGCAATTACACAAGGTTATACAAGAAACCCAGTCTCCATCTATCTCCAGTTGTAGTCAGCATCCAGAAAGCTGAATGCCTTCCAAACTCTTTTCCCAAAATGGAGAAAGAAGTGCACAGGTTTACCCCTTTGGCAAGGAATTCCATAACTGGGGTATCACCACTGAAAAGGTTTTGAAATCATGCTGTCTCACACACAAACACTACAGCCTTCTTGGAAAATTGTAGACTACAGGGAGGGATATATAGGAGGAAGCCCTCTTTCAGATAATGAAGCTCTCACTTTATGTTCCCATAGTAATTTTTGCAACAATCTTCTAATGAACAGTATTATTACTTAAGTAAGGCAGGCGAAAGTCCAAAGCAGAGAGCCAGTGTTTCCCTGAGGCCATCTTATGAGTTCTTCAAGAAGAAGACAAGAAGAGATTGGATTTATACCCCGCCCTTCACTACCCAAAGGAGTCTCAGAGCGGTTTACAAACTCCTTTCCCTTCACCTCCCCACAACAGACACCCTGTGAGGTAGGTGGGGCTGAGAGAGCTCTGACAGAAACTGCTCTTTGTCAAGAACAACTGTGCCAGAACTATGGCTTGCCCAAGATCACCCAGCAGCTGTATGTGGAGGAGTGGGGAATCAAACCCGGTTCTCCCAGATTAGGGTCCGTGCACTTAACCACTACACCAAACTGGCTCAAGAGGAGACATTTGAACCTACGGTTCACATCAACGTCTTAGATAGTAGGTCTACATCAGCCCTACTCCTATTAACCCTTCTCCATTCAAGGAACCTTTTACATCCTTCTCTGTTGAAGAATCCCTGCATCCAGTGACATCTGGGGCATTCTTTTAGGGTATACATTCCACTCAAATCGGTCCTCACTTTCAATCCCTCTCAATTAAGGGTTCACCTCAAAACACAAAGACTTTTCCACAGATCCAAATTGCGAGTGAGGGGTGAGAAGAAGTGGGCAAGCTCTCTTTATCAGCCAGTACTGATTTTCTCAAGAGGAGCCACAGTCAGGATCTCAGCACCACAAAGACAACAACATATATTGATCATGAGAAATCAATCATTTAATTCTATTCAGCTGCAGTCTATATTTCTGTCTTACCTGAAACACAGCTAGGAACAGGGCATATATGCATGCAGGCTAAGAAACTGACGCTTAATCCCTACAAGATGGAAGTGTTTCTAGTAGATGGAAGGTCTGACCTGGAATTTAAGCTGTCACCTGTTCTGAATGGAGTTTCACTCTGCTTGAAGGGACATGTGCATAGTCTGGGGGTACTCTTGGACCCAGGCCTACTGCACATGGCAGCTGTGGCCAAGAGCGTCTTTTATCAGTTTAGATTGGTTAGCCAGCAGCAGCCTTTCCTAGACGGAAAGATCTGGTCACTGTGATGCACGCCCCGGTTACATCTAGGTTAGATTACTGCAATGTGCTCTCTGTGGGGCTGCCCTTGCGAAGTGTATGGAAACCTCAATGGGTACAGACTAGTGCGGCCATGATGTTGACTGGAGTAGGCCGTAGGGACCATGTCACTCCAAACTTGGCCCACTTACACTGGCTCCCAATTTCTCTTGGGGCACAATCCAAGGTGCTGGTCTTGACCTTCAAAGCCCTATAATGGTTTGGGACCGACATACCTGAAGGACCGCCTACTTCCTTATGAATCTGCCTGACCACTACAGTTATCTTTGGAGGCCCTGCTTCAGGTTGCCCCCACTTTTTGAGATTAGATGGGTGGTAACCCAGGAGAGGGCCTTCTCTGTCATGGCACCAAAGCTCCGGAACTCTCTCCCCAGGGAGATTCATTTGTCCCCGTTTGTTGTTTCCTTCTACCAGCGCATGAAGACTTTTTTGTTTTGTTTGGCATTCCCTCAATGACGATATATGTAGATATAGATATATATCTGTATCTATATATCTGTCTAAATATATTTA